GTAAGACGGTCGCATTACACTTTTTCGTATCCTGCATCGGGGCTAAAGGATTTGCATAAGCTTTATCAACTCTTCTTTTTTTTTTTTGTTTTACCTCTCGCTCTTCTCCCCTCTTTCCCCCTTTCTCTTTCTCTTTTCTCCTTTTCCCCCTTTTAATTTTATTTTTTTCTATTTCACTATTTTTTTCATTATTTCTGTTTCTCTTTTTTCATTATTTCTGTTTCTCTTTTTTCATTATTTCTGTTTCTCTTTTTTCATTATTTCTGTTTCTCTTTTTTCATTATTTCTGTTTCTCTTTTTTCATTATTTCTGTTTCTCTTTTTTCATTATTTCTGTTTCTCTTTTTTCATTATTTCTGTTTCTCTTTTTTCATTATTTCTGTTTCTCTTTTTTCATTATTTCTGTTTCTCTTTTTTCATTATTTCTGTTTCTCTTTTTTCATTATTTCTGTTTCTCTTTTTTCATTATTTCTGTTTCTCTTTTTTCATTATTTCTGTTTCTCTTTTTTCATTATTCTGTTTCTCTTTTTTCATTATTTCTGTTTCTCTTTTTTCATTATTTCTGTTTCTCTTTTTTCATTATTCTGTTTCTCTTTTTTCATTATTTCTGTTTCTCTTTTTTCATTATTTCTGTTTCTCTTTTTTCATTATTTCTGTTTCTCTTTTTTCATTATTTCTGTTTCTCTTTTTTCATTATTTCTGTTTCTCTTTTTTCATTATTTCTGTTTCTCTTTTTTCATTATTTCTGTTTCTCTTTTTTCATTATTTCTGTTTCTCTTTTTTCATTATTTCTGTTTCTCTTTTTTCATTATTTCTGTTTCTCTTTTTTCATTATTTCTGTTTCTCTTTTTTCATTATTTCTGTTTCTCTTTTTTCATTATTCTGTTTCTCTTTTTTCATTATTCTGTTTCTCTTTTTTCATTATTTCTGTTTCTCTTTTTTCATTATTTCTGTTTCTCTTTTTTCATTATTTCTGTTTCTCTTTTTTCATTATTTCTGTTTCTCTTTTTTCATTATTTCTGTTTCTCTTTTTTCATTATTTCTGTTTCTCTTTTTTCATTATTTCTGTTTCTCTTTTTTCATTATTTCTGTTTCTCTTTTTTCATTATTTCTGTTTCTCTTTTTTCATTATTTCTGTTTCTCTTTTTTCATTATTTCTGTTTCTCTTTTTTCATTATTTCTGTTTCTCTTTTTTCATTATTCTGTTTCTCTTTTTTCATTATTTCTGTTTCTCTTTTTTCATTATTTCTGTTTCTCTTTTTTCATTATTTCTGTTTCTCTTTTTTCATTATTTCTGTTTCTCTTTTTTCATTATTTCTGTTTCTCTTTTTTCATTATTTCTGTTTCTCTTTTTTCATTATTTCTGTTTCTCTTTTTTCATTATTTCTGTTTCTCTTTTTTCATTATTTCTGTTTCTCTTTTTTCATTATTTCTGTTTCTCTTTTTTCATTATTTCTGTTTCTCTTTTTTCATTATTTCTGTTTCTCTTTTTTCATTATTTCTGTTTCTCTTTTTTCATTATTTCTGTTTCTCTTTTTTCATTATTTCTGTTTCTCTTTTTTCATTATTTCTGTTTCTCTTTTTTCATTATTCTGTTTCTCTTTTTTCATTATTCTGTTTCTCTTTTTTCATTATTTCTGTTTCTCTTTTTTCATTATTTCCACGAGGATAGGCGAGGAGGAATTAGAACTTGGGTTAGCATTAGAGGCGAAGGAAGACGAGGGATAGGCGAGAGGGAAATAAGGAAGACGAGGGATAGGCGAGGAGGGAATTAGAACTTGGGTTAGAATTAGAGGCGAAGGAAGACGAGGGATAGGCGAGAGGGAAATAAGGAAGACGAGGGATAGGCGAGGAGGGAATTAGAACTTGGGTTAGAATTAGAGGCGAAGGAAGACGAGGGATAGGCGAGAGGGAAATAAGGAAGACGAGGGATAGGCGAGGAAGGAATTAGAACTTGGGTTAGAATTAGAGGCGAAGGAAGACGAGGGATAAGGGAAGGGGGATTAGAACTAGAATTAGAAGCGAAAGAAGACGGGGAATAGGCGAGAGAGGAAATAAGAACTTGAATTAGAATTAGAGGCGAAGGAAGACGAGGAATAGGGAAGGAGGGAATTAGAACTTGGGTTAGAATTAGAGGCGAAGGAAGACGAGGATAGCGAGGAGGGAATTAGAACTTGGGTTAGAATTAGAGGCGAAGGAAGACGAGGGATAGGCAGAGGGAAATAAGGAAGACGAGGATAGGCGAGGAAGGAATTAGAACTTGGGTTAGAATTAGAGGCGAAGGAGACGAGGGATAGGCGAGGAAGGAATTAGAACTTGGGTTAGAATTAGAGGCGAAGGAAGACGAGGATAGGCGAGGAAGGAATTAGAACTTGGGTTAGCATTAGAGGCGAAGGAAGACGAGGGATAGGCGAGGAGGGAATTAGAACTTGGGTTAGAATTAGAGGCGAAGGAGACGAGGGATAGGCAGAGGGAAATAAGGAAGACGAGGGATAGGCGAG